GCTCAGGGTGGGGGGGGGGATGGCGGCAATCTTTCGTGTTCTTTGTCACTTTTCTTTACATTTTTCTGATTTAAAAAAATAGTTACAGAACGGATTAACCTTATTTACATTGAACCTTATGGGGAAATTTAACTTGGCTCACGACCAATTTGGGTCACAACCAGAGTCCTGGAATGGATTAAGTTTGTGAGCCAAGGTGCTGCTGTAGTTAGTCTGTGGCTTTAGGCATGTATCCATCTAGAATAGCAAATAGAACATGAGGGCAACACCTGTTTGTCTCCAGCCTCTAGGTGTGGAATATGTCAATATGGAGTGCCGATTTAACTATTTTGGCTGGTAATCAGGAGCTTGCTTGGCCAAAGCAGTTAGGAAGAGCTTTGCATTGATGGAACTGAATGGATATGTGGTAAGAGAATTGCTTGAACTTGTAATACCCACACTTCAGAAAGTACAAGCCACCAGTGGTTATTAACATGTTGTAGGACATGCAAAACTCAAAAATTATGAAGCTGCTTTATACCCACACAGACACTTGGTCTGTCTAACTAAACTCTAACAGAGATCTTTCACAGGCCTCCTGCTAGCTGAGAATGCTGGGTATTGAACCTGGAAACTTTTGTATGCAAAGTGTGTGTTCAGTCACTGAATTATGGCAGACACACAAAACCCCATGGATGGCATGTAAACCATTAGATAATCCTGTATATTACTGATTAGTATTTTCACTTATGTGTGTGGTTGACTGGAGAGTCAAAGGCAGAATTTCATATGTAATTGAATTTGCATGCTGTTCTTAAAATCTGTTTATGACAAGCAAACTGTGACATTGTAGAAACAGTGTTAGCATTTGCATGAAATACAGTCTTCTTGCCATAAAAGCTTACAAACCAATAAATGAGAACCTTTTAACAAGCACTCTTCTTGGCATAAAAATGAAGATCTAAGGCCTGGCATGTACACAGAAGAAGTAAAAGGGATTATCAGTTATTGTTGTACTGTGGAAAACTAGCTGCAGATTTGAAATGGGTTGTTGCTGTTGAATTGCAAGTTTTCAAGCATTTGCATTCTTATATAGGATACAGAAACAGAAATACTAAATACTAGTACAATCTGGTTCAGATCCCAACTGACTCATGGCCTTATGCAAGCCTCTGTTTGTCCCAGCCATTGTCTTCTGCCTGCAACAGAGAAGTGGCAGTAGTAATTTACCTTACCAGGGTCACTGAGATAGCATATGCAAAGTGTTTAGAACACTAGCAAACCTGTTTTTATGAGAAGCAAAGAAAGTGTCTGATTCACCTAATCAAAATAGAAAGGGCATTCAGGTCTCATTTAGCAACTCATTGGAGGTTGTTCAACGTTCAAAGGCTTGCAGTGTGTAATGCTAGGAAGTGGTAAAGTTGTATACATAAGTTGACTGAAGAAATATGGGAAAATAATATAGCTAAAATCCATAACTGGGCTATATATTGACTAAGACCAACCATAAAGCACAGAATTATGACTACAGACTTTCAAGAATGCAAGCTCTTGAAATCTCTTAATCAGGAAAAATCCTACACAGTGTGAGTGGATGGGGAGACTGATGATACTGAAATTAAATCTGCATGGTTAGAGAGTTTTAAAGGTACCATGAAGGAGGATGTGCAGACTTCTGTAGTTCCAGCTGTAACATGAAACTTGTACAACAACTAGTACAATGAATCCATTTATGTTTGCCTATTTTCCTACACTCCTTAAAACTGAACATGCAGACTGCATGACTTCAGCTGCTTCTTTGCACCTGCCACCCTCTTCCCTTCACCCCTTCATTCCTATTGTGTAACATATTGTCGGATAAAATCACCTGGAGATCTTGAAAGCATGCACCCAAAATTTTGTACTTTTTTTTACTGAGCTTTGCCTGACCAGGCATTTTGAAATTGGTCACAAAGACTAGACAAGCAATTGTTCTCTGACAAAATAAAGCGATCCTGTGAAAGGAAGTTGTAGATGGAAGTAAATATACATGCTGTCTTTTATATTGTTACATGGGCATCATTTCTTGCCGCGAGTACTGCCAAATAGGGCATTTTTTGTTCATTGTGAGTAGGATAAAATGATACCACCTGTTCTACCTGAAGCCCTGGACTTTTCATTCTCCCTTCATATGCATGTGTTGCACTATGATGCAGTTCTGTGTTGAGGAAGATACTGATTCTGTGCAGTATATCCATGATATCATCAGCTCAGCCCATATGTTCATGCTATTCACATAATCCATCCCTGTGGGACTTTATCATGGTGAAGCATGAGAGGATACATGAGGATACATGAGAGAGGAAATCACAGTGATAGGTGGAAATATGGATGAATTCTTCATCTTGATTGTTAGTTTTGTTTCAGCAAGAGAACTGGGCTCAAATTTACATAACTATATGCATTTAGATATGCATACATAATTTTTCTTGCTAAAAAGTTCATTCAGCTAAAAATCAGCGGACTCCTCCCTGCACTTCCCAACATCTAACTGGAATAAATGTTAATGATAACTCAGCAAATGTCCAAGTGTCTGTAAAGTGAAGAACAGTTGTAGGAAAAGTCAATGGTTTGGAATCCTTTTCTAAAACCCAAAGATCCTTAGCTGTGACTTGGCTCTGAGATCGTTTGGCGGAAGCAGTATGAGAACAGTAGCCACTGGATATATATTGCATCCAAAAGAATAGTACAGTGCAATCCATCCCAGTTGTTTTAGTTTCCATGCACCAAAGAAAGAAAACTTGCTTGCTTTTAAGTTTGATTCTGTGCATGCTGAGTATCTTTAGCTAGAACAAGTACATCATCTATGGAAATTAGTTATGTTGAAAACTATATTGTACAATCAAATGTATTTGCTGTGAATTATCATTTTAAGGTACTTGCATTGATTCTTTTTAATTTGTATGCTTATGATTAAAACTGTAATTGAAAATAAAAATAAAGGGAATAATTTCTTTGAATGCTCTGCATTGTTAATAGATCTAATACCGTTGTAGTCACATATTAATGAGAATACTGCAAAATCAGTGTAAAGACTTCATTTCAACATAGCAGTATAGTAAAATTAATTTATACTCTTATAGCAAGCATGGTTGGTGAATCTTCAATGACTGGCAAAATGCCCATCATTGACAGACTGAATTTGCTTATGTGTGAAGCAAGAATTCCTTCTGCAGATCTTTGCTATTAAGGTCGAGGACTATCAGTATTGAGAAAGGACAATAGGTCAGCATAACTGTGTTGTTCCATCACCATACCCACAGATTATAGTGGTTTACTCTCCACCACCAATATCATAGATAAAGAACAACAATTCACTCAGGAGAAAGTAAAAGTGTGCATATAGAGATATCATTGGAAAATGCGCTAAACATAATCCTCCCAGTGGTCTCAGTTGTTGAGACCCAAGCCTGTTCCTAAATTTTATCTTTCATTTTTGCATATTTCTCTTTTGGGTTGCTGTTTAGATTTAACTCTTCAGTGATAGTTAAACTCATGTTTTAGATTTACTACTTTAGTGTACATGTAAAGGAATTGCACTTTGTGCAAAACAATATACACTGGATGTAACAGCAACATCTGGCAGCAAGTTGTGCACTAATTAACTCTCAAATTGTGAGGACATATGCTGTACTGAATTTGAGTGTTGTTTTTGTGATCTACAAATAGAGGCACTTGTGTTGTTTGTGGGTTAAACAACCTCAAGTTAAACCAAAAGCCATGGAATCTTTAATGGAAACAGAAAGCAGCATCCCCATAATTTTTGCATTAATTAATCCACTGGATGCCTGCATTATGTCCAAATAGGGCCACTGAAGAGAGGTGTTGGGGAGAAGACTAGGGTTGGCAAGGATTTTCTTGCAGTTGTATCTCAACGAAACTCCTGAACAGTGTACTCAAGAACAGTTTGCAAGAAGGGCATTTTTGGTGTGTGTGTTGAGAGTGAGTGACTCTGAAGTATTCGTAAAATCAAACTCAAAAAAGTCTCTGACCCTCTTCGTTTTCCCAAGAAGAGTTCCCTTATTGTGGATACATTGTGGTTTCCCGGAAATCTTACTAATGAGAAGAGGTTAAAGCTCTTGTATAAGTAGAATATGTTAAGCTGCTCCAAGGAAATTGTGATAGTCTTAAAGCTGAAGTCAGGCACTGAGAAAATCGTGGTTTGCAGGAAATTGCCATTCTTTTTCAGTTTCCAGGCAATTTCTCAGCTTCTTTGTAAAATGGGAAATCCCACATGTTTGAACGGACAGAAGAGGCAGTAATGGGGCTGTTCTGCCTCTGTTGGTTCCGTTGCACTTTCAGAACCCACTTCTTGGGACTTTTAGTGCACCTAGATATAATCCTGGAAATAAAGGAGAAATGCTCATTTCTGGATAAGGACAGGTCAATGAAGTTAAATCCTACATGTTGCAGTGGCCTATACCCATTTCAAAACTAGTGTTTCCATTTGTTTCAGCTTATTTGAAATGTCCCATTGTATAAGTTATGGGTCTCATAAATTTACAAACATAATAGAAGACTACCCAAGGAATTCTAGGTGGCTAGAAATATTCCAGTGATTGTAAGAAAGGTTTCTTACAATCTGCATTATACTGTCATGATTTCCACAAAACATGGATTTTAGAAATAGCTCTTGAGGGCATTCAGTGTAAAGTATATAAGCGAGTGGGATATTCCATGTCTTTTCATGGCACATTCAGATGTTGTCCCATTTTATAGTTTGAAAGCTTTTACTTAATGACATTTTTAAAATGTATATTTCAGCATACCTGTTCTTATTTTCTGTGTGTGTGCCACAATAATATTTTACAAGTATTGGGTTAAAAAAATGCCTGAGATTAAATTTGTATGAGAAGTCTATAATTTATTATTTTTATTCTCTCTAGAAGTGAATTGTTATTGCTTCTGTTTGAATACATACACTGTTCTTTCACATTTTTGACCACACAATTTGGTTTGTTTGTTTGTTTTTCTTTCTCTAGGGTGTACCTCAGTTACCATGTGCCAAAGCATTACACAACTATGAGGGGAAAGAACCTGGAGATCTTAAATTCAGCAAAGGAGACATCATCATATTACGTCGACAAGTCGATGAAAATTGGTATCATGGAGAAGTTAATGGTGTCCATGGATTTTTTCCTACCAATTTTGTCCAGATTATTAAACCTTTACCTCAGCCTCCACCTCAGTGCAAAGCACTTTACGATTTTGAAGTTAAAGACAAGGAAGCAGACAAGGATTGTTTACCTTTCTCCAAGGTAAAATGTTTTGTTTTCTCATCTTAAGAATATAAAAACATGTTTAATGTACACATAGAAAGTCAGTTACTTCTACTTTAATTCTTGCATGTTCTTTTTCAGTCTTTTACTCTGATCTTCATTATTGGAGTTTGCTATTAACCTTGGAAATTAATGGCTTGATTTTTTCCTAAGGATTTTAAATAATTTAATCTTTATGCAGGATTGTATTACGTTTTTATTCTGCTCTTCTTCCCAAGGAACCCAGGAGAGCATTCATGCTTCTACCCATCCTGTATTTCATCTTCAGAACAACCCTATAAGGTTGGTTAGGTTAAGAGTTGCTCACATTCTCACAGTAAGGTCCATGGATGAGTAGCATTTTGAACCTTGGCTTTCTAGTTCAAGTCTGTGCATCAGGGATGGTGAACTTTGACAGATTGATGAGCCAATTACCCACACCCACATGTACAATCCAACAGACCTCACCACTGCTGATGAGATTGTCAGCTTTGCACTAACTCCTTTAAGGATGCACACCTTGTTAGGAAGCAAAATCTCACTCCTGGGAGGCTTACAGGAGCTTGGTCCTGCTTTCCAGCAAAACACACTCCCCATATGTCTTGTTTTAAGGGAAAACTGTTCCTTTTTTATTGCCACTCTTTTTTACTGCCAGTTCTGCCAGGGACACAAATAGGCTGGATGATAAGAGGCCTGCATTTTGTCAAACCCTGACTTCACTTCCTAACTTCATATTGCCTCTTGTGATTTTTTTTTTTCATTTTAACTGCTCTTCAAAGTGATTAATTTTATTCTCCACATATGCATATTTCCAATAATTAACAGTGCCTTGCTTGGCCTTCATGGCCCCTTCCAACTCTACTATTCTATGAGTCTATGAACTCTTTTACCAGACATCTAGTGTGCAGAGATATTTTTATATGAGGTAGTAATCATGTGTTAATTCATTCTGAAATGTTGAAGTCCAGGAACCATTTTACACTGAGCCTTTTGGAATCTATTCTGAAAGCTCAAGATTCTGCTGTTCTTCATACCATCTTTCTCCAATGGTCCTGCTGGGTGGAGCTTTATGAGCACTCGAGCCCTTTAGTTCTGAAAGCAACAGATTTGAAAGGCATCACTGCTGTATGCTGTTAGTAGTCATTTTGTGTCTTTATCAAGAGCCTGCCTGATTGGCATTTCCTGGTTTGTCATCTCTAAAAGAGTTATATGTATGGACAGCTTTTGAACAGCTTTGGTTCTCTTATAGTCATTCACAAGAAATAATGCAGAGAATGCAAATCAACTGGGAAGGAGCAGAAGTGTGAGATGTATTGAGAGGTGTTCGAATGCTAAGATTAGAAAAGGCTGATGTAATTGAATGGCTGTTACTCACAAAGCATTCAGTTAATGGATGACTGATTTCCTTCTGGGGCTCCTTTCAGAACTTCTCAATAATGGGAAAATACTGTTGAAAACTACTTTCATTTGAACAGCTGTACATCAGCTTCATAAAATATTTTCTTTGTCAGTAATTGTTCTGCATACAACACTTTGTTGGGGGAAAAGAAATTAAATGAATTGCCTAATTAGAACTGGGAAGGATAATTACTTCTTTCTTTTTTTAATGCAGGATGATATTCTGACTGTGATTCGCCGAGTAGATGAAAATTGGGCTGAAGGAATGTTGGCGGACAAAATAGGAATATTTCCTATTTCATATGTTGAGGTAAAGGATCCTTAAGAATCTTTAACAGAGAATACAATTGTGATAGAAAACCTATTTTACTGGTGCTCTTCTTCACTACCTCTAGTTCTCTGGGATGAAGAAACCCATTTATAGTGAGATGAAAGTGCAAGAGTAGGGAGTACAATAAGATATTTCTTATTGTATGTTAGCATGTCAGTCTTTGCAACCCTCAAATGCTGTCATTGTCATCACTTTGCATTTATAAACTGTCTTTTTTTATCTTGTGGGGATCCCAAAGTGGCTTACATAAATCCATTTTATTTTTTACAAATGCAACCTTGTGAGGTTGGTGAGGCTGAGATAACATGGCTGGCCCAAAGTCACCCAGTGAGCTTCATTGCCAAATGGACCTAGCTCCCCCATCCAACACTAACCACTGCACCACACTGCACTGGATCGCTAAGTAAATTATGTAGTGAGGGTTGTTGATAATACAACCTAAGGTGTACACAATAAATGATCAGACTCAACATGATCTCCTTCATCCTTGGTCCTTCAGCCAGTATTCCATTGTGGTTTGTGACAAAACCCATCTTGTCTTTCCTGCTGTTGTCATTTGGAACTCATTTTTTCATCTAACCTCATCAATTCCACCCTCATCTAATCAATTTCCTTGCATATTTCAGCTTTCAAAGGGAGTGTCAATGTGGATGAGGTAACATACTTAGAAATTGGCAATGCAAGACTGCATATAGACTAATTTGCATGCAGTTTCCTAGCTGTTGTACCAAAGCTAGGTCCCAAAGGGGGAACAATGTCTCCCCCTTAGAAATATGAACATCCATTTGATGGTTTTGAGGAAAAGTTGGAAACTTTTCTTTATGGTTTTTGTGCATCATAGGTAGAATCCCATTCTGGAAACTTCTGTATCTGAGGAATGTTTGGTTAAAACCCCGCCCCACATCTATGTGTGTCCATAGCAGATTCCCATCTGTTCCCTCAGTTTTCTTTCAGCTGTAATTGCAGTAGCCTGTCAGGGAACCTCTCCTACTGTATCTTTTCTGCCTGGGAGAAGAGCATCAATTGAAGGCCTGCATTCATTGTCCCACTATGTCCCACACAGTGGCCTTCATTACCCCACTATGGCACAAGTGTGAAAGAATACCCCCTTGGGACATCAGGTATGCCTTACTACTACTCACCCCTTGAGAGCTTTGGAGACTGATTCATCCCCTATTTGAGCCCTGAATTTAGGTTATACTGACTCACCCACATCTAGGCAGCTGTTGGGGCTTACGATAGCAGAAAAGTTAATACAAAAGTGCAACATTCCTCTTCAGAACTGAACAAAATGAAAGTAAAGAAGGCAACAGATCATACCAACAGTTCTACAAACCCCTCTGTCAATGCTGATTTCACCATACTGCATCAAGTCCAACTTAAGGAACAGGTGCTAGATACCAGTCCTATGCATGATCCTATACCAGTTGCATCTACATCAGATGATAATTTTTGAGGGAGATCTCATCACTACGGTTACCAGTCTCCTAGCCTCCAGATTCTGGGTACTCAAGCTCAAGGCTGGGAGAGCATACATCTTAGTTATATAAATGCCCATGATGCAGTTCCCAGTTGAAGCTTTTTGATTGGATTAGGCATTCAAGCTTTCACTGTCATGTTGATCCAAATTGTACTGGGATGAGCTGCACTCTGGGTTTGGAGGACTAACAGTGGATGAATGTTAGTTAGATAATCTTTGTCACCTTTTTGGTAGTTAAGGGCTGGTTAAGACAACCCTTCATGCCAAAGCGTTTAAAGACATACTTGGATACCCAGGGGCTTGAGGGGATTACCCATCCCAGGTGTGTTACAGAGACATTTTTATTGTTTTAGCTGTTTAATCTTGTTCTGATTTTGTGATATTTTTATTGTATTTTATTGTCCATTTAATGGATTGTTGTTAAACCATCCAGGTCGCTTCAGCTGTTGGCAGTATAGAAATGAAATCATCATCATCACCCTCACTATTCAAGCCTCATTTCCTCTCCATGAGTGCCAACGTTCACCATTACCAACAGTTTATTGGTTCTCCATAGCCCTTCTTTTTATTGTCAGCTTCTGAAGTGTTATTAAAATAGAATTTTTTCTTTTTTTTTTTTGAAAAATAAGCTTCAAATGGTCATTTTAACTTGAAAATTCATTCCAAATTAATTCAAAGTTCCATTCATAGACGAAGTTTAATCAGTTAAAATTCTGATGAGTTAATCAGTTTTCTTTGATGGTATGACAGCAGCAGTATCTATAAAGTGTGTTATTATTTTGCAGTTTAACACAACAGCAAAGCAACTGATAGAACTGGACAAACCCTCAGGTTCAGCAGTAGATTCTGGAGAAGGCACCTCTGGTGCATCCCACAGCAATTCAGTTCAAAAGCACACTGATACCAAGAAAAACACCAAAAAACGTCATTCCTTTACTTCCCTTACAATGTCCAACAAAGCCTCACAATCTTCTCAGAATCGTCACTCAATGGAAATCAGTCCTCCTGTCCTCATCAGTTCTAGTAACCCTACAGCTGCAGCCCGTATAAGTGAACTCACAGGCCTTTCCTGCAGTGCACCTTCTCAGGTAATTTGCTAGAATCAGAATATAGAGCATGCCATGTCCTTTCAAATGAACAGTTTAAATGGTTGTCAGAACAAATTGAATTGTGGATGATTCCTTCTGGAATAAGGGCAAGCGGTCATGAATTATATAAAGGGACAATTTTCATGCATTCTGAGGTACTGTAACTTGATGACACCTCGTCATCTTGCTCTTTCAATAACTCAAAATTCAGGTTGTATTTTGGTTTAAATTGCTTTTTGGTTAAAAAAGAAACATGAACAAATGCTTTTTAATGTTTTGTCTGAACTAAAAATACAACAGTTTGACTTGTTATATAAGATAGAAAATACCAGTAATTTTATCTCTGAGAATGTGATGTGGAGAGGTATTGGTGACCTTTGTATGTTTGGCAGGCTTACCTTAAAGATGAAACAACCAAGGATTGTGGTGCTTACCACTCCAGAGTTCCACTTTATGACCACTACAAGCAGTGGCCTAATACTACATGCAGTGGTTGGGCTGCTCTTAGCAACCGGTATTCCTTTTGCAGTTTGGGACAGAATGCCCTGTGGAAATGTAATGTTCTTCACAAGTGCTCTTGGTGAGGAGGAATGATGGCTGCTCTCATCATACATTTTAAATGTTTGTGTCCCAAATCAGGTGTTTCACTGCCTAATTACCAACACATGACTTGCTGGTCAAGAGAATGTCCTTTTTCCTTGGGCTTTTCTGCCACCCTTCCCCCTTTTGTCTGTTTTATGGTAATCAAAGTTTACTATAGTGTTTGAATCAGGAAAACTATGGTTAGCGTAAGCAGGACTGGTCTAAAAACAAAAAGAAAATCAGGATGTGGAGATGATTTGTGATTATTGCTAACCATTCTCAAGATTTGGATCTTGCAATTAATATACAGAAAGAAAGGAGACAGAATCTGTAGTTTGTATCTCTGATAATAAACGTTTCATTATTTTCTACAACAGCTATATCTGAAAAAGAGAGTTTAGCTGTGACATATGTGCAATTTTCACAATTGTAGGAGAAGGAAGCATATTGGTAGTAAAACTTATAAAATGCCATAAAGTACTAATTTAGCATCTGACAATATGTCTCTGGTCGTTATTTCGATTGCTTTTCCTATCTTCCCAATGCATTTGAAATCACTTATATCACACATGGAATGTTAAAAATGAACCACATGATTTAACACAACATGCTGTGTACATTTTAAAAATGGCAATTTCATTATTCTCTTTAAAATTATAGTCCATCTATTTACCCAAAACTACATCAAAAGCCTAACAACCACAGTAAAGTCTATAAAGTTAAAATGTGTAACACAATGAAGTTACTGATGGCAGTCATGATTTTATTTTCTGGTAAATATGTTAATTCTGTCTCATTTAACTTTTTGCATTTTAATAGGTTCATATTAGTACCACTGGGCTGATTGTGACCCCACCACCGAGTAGTCCAGTTACAACAGGCCCTTCTTTTACTTTTCCACCTGAAGTCACATACCAAGCTGCTCTTACTGTAAGTACCATTGACAGAAATTAAGATCTTTGATACAGCCTGATGTAATGTTATCAATTGGAATTTGCTTTTTTGCAAGCTGCCATGAGATTTTTTTTAAAAAAATAATGTTTACATAATACATTCTGACACAAACAAATGTCTTGATGCTAGGAATTCTGATATACTCCAGTGGTAGAGTGATGTACACACCTGTTTCCTGATACTTTTCAATAACAAATATGTAAATCATATTTCTTTACCATGGATAAATATGATTCTCCATGGTAAAATATTATTTCTAAGCTGTTTCAATTTGCATTGACAGGAAGAAATATTAATTTGGTTTGGTTGGGGTATTTATTTTCTTTATTTAATAAATTTATATCCTGCCTATTTTTTGCAAGGAACCCTGGGCAACTTATATAACCTCCCTTCTCTTTTCTTTCATTATATCCTCACAACAGCCCTGTGAAGTAGATTAGGTTGAGAGTTATCCAGTGAGCTTCATGGGCTACTGGGGACTAGAACCTGGATCTCTCAAGGCCGGTCCAGCACACCACATTATCTAATTAACTTTATGAACTTAATTTTTGCTAATCTGACCAGTCCTGGAAAGTGTTTGCTGTTTACAATGATGTACAATGTCATTTCCATGTTATATTATTTCAGAAGAAAACATACTTGGTAACTGATTAGACATTGTGACTTTATGTATGCTGGGTAAATTAAGCTAACTAGGTGGGTACTGCATGTAGCTATTCCTTACATGGAAAAGTGGACAGTCAAATCCAGGTATTTAACCATATGGCTAGATAATGGCAACACATAGTTTATAAATTATTGACTCAGTGCTTTTTGCTTTCAGAACCCATTATTGAGAATCTGGGCAATGTGTTCAGCAACAGTATCATAGAAGTCATATAAGTGATAAAGTGTTGTCACTCCTTTTCAGTTGTTTAGATGATCATCTGCGCATATTTATGGATGCTCTGCAAATTGTACCATGGTGTTCCTTGTATATTGCCTTTGCCTGGTTATAAGTCATTCTTCTGAGATGGACAGGGAATTGAAACATTTTGCCCATGGCAGGATTCAAGTCAGCGAACTCCTGAGTATATTTGTCATTTCTTTAACAAACAGCAATACAGGTGTCCCTGATTCCCTTCATTTCACATGGGTTGGAACGTGGTGACATGATGGTAGCTTGGCTGTCTTCATGTCCATGTAATGTGTGGACACCAATTCTGGGACTCCATTGTCAACTATGGCAACATTTCCAGAGACCCTGTGAATATGCCTAATTTCTATCCATTTTTCTTTTTCTGGATATTTTTCCACTCACCTTGAGGGCTGAGCATGCATTAGATATGGTAGCTGTTTGCTGTAGAATACCTATTTTCTGTGTGGATTGGATGGATGAAAATATATGATTTCAGCTCTTTACTTGTTGTATTTGTTTACTGGGAGCATTCATAGTCAAGCTCTAGAGAATGATCTGGAGTTTTATAGATGAAAAACTTACCAGTGGTTCCATAGGGTGATGTCATTGTTTAAAGGAATGCAACCTCAGGGCAGAGCAGAGCCCCATTAGAACTTGCTTGTTAAAAGATTATCATCTTCTGAAAGAATATCCATCTTAAGAATCCTGATTTTTAGAGTTTAATACTTAAAAAATAAGAAAAAGTAGTAACAATAGCATAGTAACTATGTTCTCCTTTGTAGCTGCATATCAAAAGGAATTTTGTTCCTAAAGGCATGATTTGAGAAGATTGTGCTGAAATTTGTTTCTTATTGTGGTTTAGCCTCTGGTTTCAAAAGCAGTCATGCACTGTAGTCCATTTCAAACCGTTGAGCTCTCCTTTGAAAAGCTTTTGGATTTTTGCCAAGAAATTAAATTGAAATGTTTATATATTAGAGTCATCCTTTGAGCTTTTTCAGTTTGTGGCTTAAGGTTTTGTTTTGGGAAAAAGAAATACAAGTCATTGTCCAGTAATTATATAAAGCATTGGCAAATCTACTTTATTGCTGGATGCAAGTCATTGGAGTGCACATGTGAATCTGTTTGCAGCTGAATACTGAAATCGATGTGTCACATCGCTTTTTTATCTATTTTATTTCTAGAATATGAATCCCCCTTTACCACCACCACCCCTCTTGTCTGCTACAATAATTGCCCCAACTTCTACTGGACTGCCTTCAGGAGGTGCTCAAAAATCTGCCTCAGGATCAACTGAGCAAATATCTCATTTGCGGTCACAAACAAGGCCAAGTGTGTGAGTGAAGTAGAAATGTTTTAATTATTAAAATGGTGTTGAAGATCAGAACTGATAAAAGAACAAGAATTGAAGTATTTCTGGAACAGGCTAGAAAATCTTTGATTTTCCTTATGGATTTAGAAACATCTGGTGTATGTAAGCAGAAGAGAGAACAAAATATTATTTGATAACACTGCCTCTCTTAGTAATTGATTCTGTGCCCCAAACGAAAACTTAAATTTCCAGATCCAAGCTTGGAAACAGAGGTCCAACCTTAGAATCTGTGCTTTGATCACCCTCCCCCTTGTAGCTGGCGCAGAAAGAACTGTGGTAGCGGCCTCTGAGGTTGGGAAAGGTAGGAGGCTGGGGTTGCCATCATAGGAGGTATCCCAAGAGGTAGACCAGCCTCTTTCCTTCCCATTCTGAAGCAACTCAGCTAATTGGCTGCAAATGACCATTTAGCTAAAATGCAGAGCTTGCCTCCATTGCACTTCCTGCTCTGCTCTGGATGTTCATAAAGCTTCAAGTCTGAGGGCTTATAAGCATCCAGAGCACAATGAGTAGGGCTGTGCACTTAGTTTATCAGATGCATTGCTCATACTGTTTACAGTTTTGATCTATAGTATGCTTCTGCATGTTTCTTCTGTGTATTCTATAGATGCGTAGAAACATTAGTCATTTCACAGGGAAATTATCTTCTCATGCTTGAAGAATTAAGGATTTTTGACCAAACACTGGCTGTGTTTGCTTGATATGACACTTCATTTATTTTATTTAAAAACTTTTCTACGTCATCCACCACTGACATCTCAAGATGGCTTACAATAAAGAACAATTAAATTAAACACAGCATTCAGCAAGTCAAGATTAAAAAGCCCAGTTAAAACCAGTTAAACATTAAAATAATGGGAAAATAAAAACGGTTTCACCTGACACTGAAAAGAATAAATCACTGCTATCAGCTCAGTATAGACTGCTTATCTTCTCAAAGGTAGATATAGCTCAAATGGGTATTCCGTAAAGTTACATCTTAGGTTTCCAATCTCTCTAGCTACTGGGTTCTTCAACCTACCTTTATCCACTTTTCTCAGTGATATGCAGACTATCCAGTGTAGGCTCCACTCATTTTAATGAGTCTTTTCTAAGGGAGGCTAACGTTGATTACAACTTCTGGATTACAATTCAAAACTGGTCTAAGATGCTAATTCAATAGGATTGCTACTCTTTAGATGGAATCTCCAGGATGGGAGCCCTCTGCATTTCCAGGCCCTGCAGGCAGAATAGGCAGAATTGTTAGACTGGCTTCTTGGCCTGTCTAGGTCACTTACATTGCTTTGAATTGGGACGGGTGATGTTGAGGCTTGTAGATGCAACAATATCAGAAGTCCCACTGTGTAGGGAGATTTCCACTCAGATTTCTCTTCTCTACCTGAGGAGGCAGCTGCATGTATAACATTAGTAGAATCTACATTATCCTCTGAGATGCTGTCCTAGTGAGCATAAGGTTGTTCTGCCAAGCATTTAAAGAAAAACAGTTATTCTTAACTACTCCAACCACTTCACCACACTGGAGAGCCAGTAAGTTAGAGCACTGAACTCAGGATATCTGGGTGCCCACTTTGCCATGAAGTTCATGGAGTGACTTTGTGCCAGTCACTGGCTCTTAGTCAACCTCACAGGATTGCTGTGAGGATAAAATGAAGATGATGAGGACCATGTGAGCTGCTTTGCATTCCTTCATAAGAAGAAAAAGTCTGGCTATAAATGTAATAATAAAAATAAATAGAACAAATAAAGACTATTTATTCAATTCAGTTTATTCAGAATAGGCAACTTTGTGGTTTCATTTGTTTTTCAAGTAATTATCAATGTTGACTCAGCCTGTCTAGACACTGAAGAACTGGTTTAAATTTGTATGCAGCTGGTAGGTTAAGATTCAGATAATATACAGCTTATACTACTTCTGTTCAATTCTCCTCTGTTCTACAGTGCAGAACATAGTGGGAATTACTTTCCAGTAAAACCATATAGCATTTTACTAAAAGAAAAGTGCAAGATCTAGCTGCCATAAATTATGGTTTGGTTACCTGGGCCAGTTAGAATTTGTGGTTTCCTGCATATATACATCAATATCAGTTATCAGGAGGATGGATAATCCCCAAGATATCGTTTAACCTCCTCCATAGGAAAAAGTCTCTTCTTTTGCAAACTAAGATATAAGAGTTTTTCTCAGGGACTCTTTGTTTTATCAGGGTAGGAGCTTAGCTGTGTGTGTAACTTTCACTGGCCATTTCACAAATGGGCTTCAAGATAGGCTTTTAAGAGGTAAATGAAAATTGCTGAAGGTGTATGAAATCAGGAAAGGATAGTACAGTGTTTGGGGTGATAATCTTTAATAACTATCACCAATTGTTGAACATTTTATCAGTAGGAGCTTGAGGAAGGCATGTATTGATTGATGATTGGGGTGTGAGACAGAACACTTTGGATTCCTCTTACTGTTTAAAGGCATTTCTGGGATAGACATTTCTGTGACTATAAAAATCACTCTGCAAATCAAATATATGATTTGTACTTTTTGATATTAATAAGTGAGTAAACAGATTCCTGACCATCCTCTACTTTAAAATGCAGATCCTAGTGATTGGTTTTTTCCCCTAGGTACATTGCTATTTATCCATACACTCCTAGAAAAGAAGATGAACTGGAACTGAGAAAAGGCGAGATGTTCTTGGTGTTTGAACGTTGTCAGGATGGCTGGTTCAAAGGAACTTCCATACATACAAGCAAAATTGGTGTATTTCCTGGCAATTATGTGGCACCAGTTACAAGGTACAGTTTTCAGTTGAATTTCCCTTTTAAAATGAAAAGCAAAACAATTCCACCTGACTATCCTGTTTTTCTGTGGTGATTTGTTTGTGTTGCTTTGCTGATTTAATAACGAATGCATAACATTTCCCATTACTTTTAACAGGGCAATGACAAGTGCCTCTCAAGCAAAAGTCCCTGTATCTACTGCTGGTCAGACAGGAAGGGTGGTGACCATGGTCAATGCTTCTACTGCTGGAGGAACATTGCAGAAAATTCAGGGAAATGGAGTAACAGTGAACGCCAGTGCAGTGCCAACTGCTGTGGTCTCTGCGGCACATATACAGACAAGTCCACAGACCAAGGTTCTTATGCACATGACTGGCCAAATGACTGTCAACCAGGCTCGCAATGCAGTCAGAACAGGTAAAACATTCTTCATTCCTTAACTTAGTACATAGTATGGTCAGGATACACATCTCTGAAACTCCAGAGATATTTTTAGTAGACTTGAACTAGGGAGACCAGAGTTACCATGTAATACACAGATGTTATTGCAAGAATAACAGGCTATTTCCATATAAAGTGTATTGTGATCTTGGAGGAAGAATGGGATATAGAAGAGATAACAAATGTGACCAATATGAAATTGGAAGATTTGCAGGTGTTCTCTGGTGTACATGTCTTGTGAAAATTTGACAAAGGCTTTATTTCCAGTCTTTTTAAATATACTTCTCCTTCTCATTGTAGTTGCAATACACAGCCAAGAAAGACCTACAGCCACCGTGACACCAATTCAAGCTCAAAGTTCAGCATGCCTTATTCCTGCTGCTGTAATTATTCCACACCATTCTGTTGCCTCTCAACAGCTCCAACCTCAGCTTTCAAATGCTGCTGCTTACATCACAGCTGTGAATATCAACCGGACAAATGTCCCATTGGCTTGTGCAACATCTTCATTAAGTTCTCCTGCCACCTCTGCATCTCTGGATGGAGAGGCAAACGGGAGAATTGTGACTGTTTACCCTGGAGCTCCAGCTTCTCCAGAGAATACATTAGCAGCTGGAGGGGTTATTACTGTCAGTAAACCAGATAGAGATGGCAAGGTAGGCATGGCATGTTGGTCCTTCATGGTCTCTGTAAAGTTTCACATTTAAGTTATTGCACTCATGTTTTTCTTTTAAAAGCTTTTACATTAATGTTAGTAAAAAAAACAATGGAAATGCCACAGATAGTTCACCTACTTCCAGTTAGCTGTAAATCCAGAGAGTGCCATTTGCTTGACTTCCCGGTACATTTTGGTGCCAAACAGTGGAAGGCTTAACTTATTAACATAAACAGTTAATTAGTATGGACAGTAATCAGGTTTCTGTTCCCTTAGGAAGGAGGCAAACCTAATGTGATACAAGTGCTGATGTTGCTAATATATCAGAAGTAGAAATTTACTTAATAAATGAGTGAATCTGGTTATATATCATAGCATCATTGTTGCTTTGGTTGGCCACACCATAGTCTTAGTGTCTTAGGCCCTATTGAACTGGGATCACTAACTGGTGGACAAATGAGAATACATTATAAGTTTTGACCACAGCTCACATAAAGTATTGTCATGCTTTAAGCAGTAAAGATACTTATATGTTTTAACATTGCTGCACCCTAGATTTTGCATATATGCTGTAGTATATGAGCATGTGTGCTTTGTAACTATGAAGCACTTCTTAGTAGATGCCACTAACTTTATTATTGTGTCTGACTACAGGTCAGGACACTAGCAAACCATCGATCAGCTTCTGAATAAATAATAGAGTGCTGCCCAAATGTAAAGCTTCTATAACTGAGGAATTTTTGGTGGAAAACCTTGCCCACCATATAATTAGAGGGTTCTTGCCAGTTCTCTCAGTTCCTCTTCAGCCACTGTTGTAGTTGTCTCATAGTGAGCTTTGTCCCTTCTCCTCAAGACAAAGTTCTATCCCCAGCTTGCTTTGCTAAGGTTTTCATTGAGCATTTCTTCTACAATTCTTCTAATTATTTGCTTTGTTGTTTTCATTATTTGTTTTACGAGTCTTCAGTCACTTCCTTCACCTGAGAGATGTATGGCCTTGAAGGCACCTTTTCAGAAGTGTAGGTGTTGTAGCCACAAACTTCCATAAATCCATTTTTAGATGCCTTTTGGTACAAGAATTCACACAGTGCAATATATTTTAGTGAATGTTTGGTAACTGATAGAGTTGCAACTATGGTATATGTAGGCCTGTTTGCATTTAAGTAATGTACTATATGCCCATATTAGAAACATGGAATGCAAAGGCATGCAATAAACATGAAGTTCTGGGTTGAGATCATAATACACACTTATCTTATAGGGATCTTGTAAGGATAACATCTAGATAATGCATGTAAAGCACTTCAAACACTTAAAAGTATTGATGACTTAATTGCCAAAATCTGTATTTGAGTTGAGATGGATGAAGGTATTTTTATATCATATTCATTTCCCAAATTGACAGAAATAGGTGGACCCTGTGTGTTTTGAACATACTGAAGAAATTTCTCGTTGCCTTATAAATATGTTTGTTTTAAAACTATACCAATACTTATTTCCAGAAAGAAAAAAAGGGGTTGCTGAAATTACTTTCAGGAGCATCTGCCAAGCGCAAACCTCGAACATCACCACCATCATCACCAACTCTAGAAGTTGAGCAGGCAGCTGCAGAGCTGGCTCTACAAGGTGCTGTAGGGCCAGAGGTCCCATCAACCTCAAGTCACGGAAGAGCTGAGTCTTGCTCCATGGACAGTGAATCACCTGTATCAGTGCAGGAGAATAGTCATCGGAAAACAAGTTCTTTGGATTCCAGTATTCCGATAGCTCCGCCTCCACGGCAGCCCTGCTCTTCATTGGCCCCAGTACTGAATGACTCTAGACCTGTAGTCTGTGAACGGTAAGCCATTTCCTCCAACTAGAGTGTGAGACATCCTTCACAACTCATCTATAAATGCTAAGTATTAAAAGTAATGGAAGTGAAACACTGATATATTTCCTAGGACAAGTCTTTGTTGATGCACCTGAACTTGAAGTTTTCAGTTATTTCTACAATGGCATCTTGATATCAATCAATAATCAGTTCAGTATGGCTTTTCAATAAGTCAGCTCCCATAATAGATTACTGTATTGTTGAAATTATGTACACAGTAGAACCAACCAATAATTCTAGATGGCTGGTCACTGCTAGAAAGAATGCTGAACTTTTATTTATTTGATGCAAGTTATACTGCTTTTCAGTAAGCATTTCCCATGCACTTCACACAGCTGTCCCACCCGGTTTTGTGTCATCTGCAGATTTGTTTAGCATTCCCTGCACTTCCTCATCTAAATTATTAATAAAAATATTGAAGAGCACTGGGCCCAGGTTTGAACCCCATGGTACCCCACTTGTTACCGCTTCCCAGTTTGAGAAGGTGCCATTGATGAGCAATTTTGGGGCCAATTCTGTAGCCAACTCTGGATCCAGCTTATAGTTGTTTGCTCTAGCCCACTTTGAGCAAGTTTGCTAATCAGGATATTGTGGGTCACTTTGTCAAAACTGGCAAGCAATGCTAGTGAGGTAATTAGGGAAGTTTGGCTGGCATGTGACCATCAAGCACATTTTCTCTCACTTTTTTGTTGTATTAAAATTAGCCAGTCAATCAGCCTCAATATTTACTACTCATAACATTGTATATATTAATGTTTTGTTTTAACAAAAATAGGTGCAATGGGAACAAAAAGAAAAAAGATACCTGTTGAAATCTAATTTCCATAGCAGCTAAACATTTTTAACATTGAAAAGAGGCCAGATGGACATCTGAGTACTCAAGCTTGTTTCCGTTCCTCATAAAAAGCGTTTTTCTTTCATTGCAATTTTGGCAATAAAATCTTTGGCACATGGTGGCTTCTCAGTTGGCAGGGATTGGATTTTCTCCTTGTTAAAGCATTCTGCTTCTGTAGATTATTTGATACAGCCTGTTCTGTATTGTATGGCACACAAAATCTTGTAATACTAATTTACCTTTGACATATCAGTGCTTTAAAGACATAACTCTCAAATATGCAAGAAAAATGCAATTTTACTTAATTGGCTGCAACCAGTCTTAGTCATCCATAGATTATGCCCAGTGAAACCTAATGGATTTATATTAGTCAAGACTAATGTAAGTCCCATTGTTTGACTGTGTCTGTTTGAACTATAGCAGGGTCCAAATCCAGCCCAATAAACACAAAAGCCCAGTTATTTTTTTAGTAATGTTCAACTTATCAATGACATTAAAGAAGATACTGTGTAATGAGTGGCTATACATAAGAATAGGGGGTAGGTGCTCTCTATGGTGCTGTATTTTCAATTGCATAGCTTCTAACTGCAGCATTGTGACAACAACTCTCTGGTCCTAAGCATCCTTCTGCCTGAGTTACTATGTGTGTTCCGGGCTCCCAAATGCTGTCCTCATGGGGAAAGTGCGAGTGGGTGAGTAGAAAAAGTACTATAGGCAGTTAGTTTAAAGAGGAGAAAGGAAGCAGGAAAAAGTATCCTTTGGCCTCTTGTTCCACACCCCCCCCCCAGCAGTATGATGGAGAGAATTAAGCCTCATGGGTTTATGTGAGGTTGCTTCAGTAATTTAGCTTGAAATACTGCATCTTTCAGAAAATGCCAGAAAAAGTTATCAATTAACGTGACAAAGGACAATAGGTGCTTGGAGGAAAAAAATCAACATGATATCTTCACTTTTGTAATAAAACTTATTGAACAAGGAATTCTAATAGACATCTTGCTGACTAAAAGTAGATTTCCCCTACATTTTGGATTTTTTACCAGAACACATAAATATTACAAACCATTTGAGAGTGAGAGCAAGGGAGGGCTGTTATAGTCATGCATGTGCCCCTCCCCCACACACAGTACTTATAATAGGTTAAAAGGATTAACCTATTATTAAAAGGAATGGAACTTGTTAGTGGTAACTCATTCAAGTCCTGCGGCTCATTTCAGAGGCTTTAGTTAAAGTAGGGCTTTTGTTAGTTTTTCATACACACATACTTGAGGAAGATGAGGAATAAGTCTTAATTTAGAAAGGAAAAACAGCTGAAGATGATTAAGTAAATAATAAATTAATGTAATCCTAAACCCATTTTTTGAAGAACTTACCTATTGGCAGTGAACTAAGTGGGGTTTACTTATAGACCAATCCTATGCAAGCTAAGCATGCACAGGATTTACCCTTAGAAGCCTTATAATAATACTCTGCTCTTATTGGCAGCATCTGTCCAGGGTCTTAAGCAGTCTTCTACTAATTTTTTGCCTGAACCTTTGATTTAACTGGAGACCTTGTCTATGCAAAACATGTGCTCTGTCACTGAGCTGTGGCCTCTCACCATGTTTCCAAGTAACTATGCAAAGGATTGCACTGCAAAAGTAAAATTAAAGGAATCTTTTCATATGTTCACTAACCTAGAAAAAAGGCTTGTAGACCTTTTCAACATTATATTTTCCCTGCTTTTGTATCTGATTTTTGGGCCATATATTTAATTTCCCAGTTGAGCTTTATCCTAAGCAAGACCATAGAACAATTATTTCAGTGCATATAACAAGGATATATATCTGCAAATATCTCTAGGTCCCTTGCTGCTCAAACCTACCAGTGCTGCTGCTTTGCAGCAAGGAAATGCCAGAGGGATTTCCCTTCTCAGATGGGTGGGGCAGGAAGGCATGCTTTGGGGGCTGTCTCTCTACCCTTTCAGTTCTTCTCTCTTTATGATAATATTTTGGAGGTCTTCCCTCTCTCCCCTTTCACCATTTCTCTTTCTAACATAACAATGATTTTCCACAGTATTTTTGTTAAATAATAGGTTTTATGGCGGTTCGTTCATACGTACAGGCTGTTCTTAACTTGGATGTTTATAAATCAGCTACTGCCTGTACACACATTTCTGTCCTACTATAATCTGTTGTCCAAACAAATTTGGCAGTTTTTTCAAACAATAGAAAAACCTGAAAAATGTCCTTACTATGTGAAAGGAGGATGAGTAATTACAATCAGCACATTTCTCTGACCATGTAACAGTCATTGTGATATATTTTTCTCTCATTATTTGGTCTTTTATGCAACTACTGTGTGGCAGAAATAAAATTCATTTGATAAGCATAAAATTGTATCACCAATTTGCATATCTTGCAATCATCTCAAAACTTCAGTGAAGGCAGCCTATGTACATTGCTCTTCATATTATTGTTTCAGCACACTTTCTGTCCAGTTAATACAATTTTCTTTAAATTATGAGATTGTAAACAGTTTTAGGCAGCAACCAGTTGCAGGTTGTATCTGGCAAATACCTGTTACTAATAATGTGTGTCTCTGTAATGGCATGATCTCAGATAAATAAATAAATAAATCTTGCTCTGCAGGTACAGGGTTGTGGTATCCTATCCCCCTCAGAGTGAAGCTGAGCTCGAGCTTAAAGAAGGAGATGTTGTTTTCGTACACAAAAAGCGTGAAGATGGCTGGTTTAAAGGCACACTGCAACGAAATGGAAAAACTGGACTTTTCCCTGGCAGCTTTGTGGAAAGTATTTGAGAAGCTTATTTCAAATGTTTCAAATCACATAGCACTATAAAATAGCACAAAGATTTTACAAGAGAGTGCAAATATAGAAGACTTTTAAATGACTGTAATATAAACAAAGTTATATTTATGTTTTTCAGTATCCCACAGCACAATTCTGCCAGCAAACAAAGATGAGATACTTGCTGGGGATTTTTTTAATCATTCTGAATTTTTAAGTGTAATGTGTGCCTTGTAATGTTTGATTTATTCTACAGAGGAAGTTTTTTTTTCCAAATATATAACACAAAAGAACAATTGTTTACAAGGCTGTAACTAATTTATTCTTGGTTTTCTAAACTTGAATTCTGTTTAATAGCTAAAGCTTGGTGATTATGATTAACAAGTTATTAATTTATGAAATAAGGTAAGGAGAAGCTGGATTCTCTCCTTTTACAAAGGCATAGTGTCTGAGAGATGGCTTTCTCCCACTGTGTGACAGTAAAGTGAGTTTGTTTTATACATTATTGTTGGCTGTAATGATGGTGATGTGGTGTCAAACTGAACCATGCAAACTGGGATAAAATGGAACTGTGGATTTTCTTATTTTGGTGAGAAATTGTCAATAGCAGGTCTAAATGTCCCAGACAGTGTAGCATTTCTGGAAGGCATATAACTGTGCAACAGAGTTAAATCTTAACATTCTCAAAGTGAGGATGAAAAATGGAAAAGATGCCAGAAATGGGGAGATCAGCTTCCTCTAGCTTCTGTTTGTTCAAGTGTTTTGGATATCTGTCAAGATTTAGCTTTGCAGATTTGGCTAGTTCTTTGGGCACATGGCACTCACAGAATATAAATGAGATTTTTAAAAATGTTAATCGCAAAACTCTGAGAATAGGGATATAGTAGTAGTGATTAGCTGCAATTGTTGGTAGTATTCAAAATTTAAATTCAAGTTGCACTCACTGTCTAAATATGCCAAGAAATGTTTGCTTCTTTTCCTTTTCAAAGTTACTTGCATGGCTGAGAGACAATTTTACAGTGTTTGAGCAATAGTGGTGGTAAGTGATACACTTGTGTTTTTAAAGTAAAGGCTGTAAGAACACTGTGAAACTTTTGCTAATTTTGTAACTATTGCTACTTTCATATGTCTTAACTTCTCATTGTCTTGCATGTACTACAAATTTTCATGGGCATACAAAACAGTGCATGATTTATAGATTGTATTCCAGAGTCCTTTTGTTGGTTACTCAGCTGTTAAATCAACCAGTTATCTGCTAGTACAGAAGCCACTGACCAAGACTAGTGAATGATTAAGTCCTAATTATGTAGGGAGTGCTCTAAATCCTCAACATCATTCCAGCCATGGATATCTGGAAGCATAAGAGACCTGGGAAGGATATCTGTCACCTAATTTCAGGGATGGAAGAACATTTTCCATCTTTGTTTCCCCCATGTTACCTTGCATTCTTACTTGTTAACCTTTAGAAATAAACTTTTTAATAATTAGTGATCAGAATGCACACTGCAATATCACTCCTTTGTTCTCCACATGGACAGATTTATTGGAAGGCATTCTTCAGCGCAGAGGGGAAAGAATATTATAGCCATGGCAAGGTTTAGCAACCTCTTGCCCACTGTGCTTTTTGTGGCCTTGGGTATGTGTGAAGATAAAAACTCCCAAGTCCCATGATAGGTGACAGAAAGATGGTGCTTTAACTCAGTTTGAGACTCTTGTTACACTTCTGTTCAGATAAGCTATAAAGCCCTGTTTGGAAACATGTTTTTTAATTGCTGCAGGAGAGGCCATTTTCTACATTTTCACTCCTTAGTAATCTGCTGGTATGTCCTGCCAGTATTCTTCCCCATTCCTCTCCACACTAATTAAAGTGTGCAAAGGGAGAACAACACATTAACTAGCTAGATTATAAAGGCAGGAAATTTGTAGTCTTCCAGATGTTTTGGCATATGACTCCCAACATCCGTCCCCTTAGCTGTGCTAGGCCAAAAATCTGGATGGCAATAAGTTGCCTACTACTGAGCTAAAAGAAGAATAACCCTCTTGTCACTTGTAAAGTCCACTGGCTCCCTTTCCTGGCTTGAAAGGAGTGGAAATGGAGGCAATTCTCCTTCCAATCCACTCTACCCTCAGCTTTTAAAGCAGCACCCTTGCTGACAAAAGTAATAGGATCATGTAGGAGAGACTCAGCCACTCTTGGGTATATCTATCTTTGCCTCTCATCTCTCCCAACAGTATCAAGTAACTGAGTTGGGAGCTCCAATGAGGCGAATTGGTGAATTTGACAGCCAGACCCTTGAGTGTCTGTGAACTGCCAATTGCTAATACCTAAATGGATCCTGTAAAGAATATGCTACTATTTCAAGGTTGTGGGTATCCTTTTAGTCTTCTTTTTTTATAGATTGTAAAAATTCAGCACTAGTGACTCATAATCTGTACACATTTGCTTGATTAAAGCAATCTTGTTAAACTCAGCTCAGCCTGCTCCTATGTCAGGTTTAGCTAGATGTTACCAGCTTTTATTCTGATAGGCTCCTGCTTCTTGAAGTGTGTGGCAGGTAAAATTCAGTGACCCTGAATACCATGGCATACATATACTGCCATGGCAAAGCTTCAACTGTTGAATTTTTGCCCATCATGCAGCTGCTAAAGACGGACAACTTAGTTATGAAGAACAATAGATTATCTTAAGTTCAGTACCTCTTCCCTACTATTAGACTTGGTGGAACTTGAATACTCTTATTCTTTACTAGAGTGGAAACTTGCATCATAATATGAATTTAAAGGAGATATATGCAATGTAAAGAAGAAAAAAATATAGACTTGCTGGTGATTTACAAATGATTTCATACGTAAAACACAACAGGTTTTTTTTACTTAAAAATGGTGAGGAACCAACTATTACCTGAAGGAATATTTTGCAAAATCAAGTAGTTTCATGATGGTCTTAATCTAAAGTATCTTGCTGAAACCGAAATCATTCCTAAATTAACACCTGTGTGAGACACTGTACAACTCAATTCTTGTGGAATTTAAAAAGATTAGTTTACTTGAATGTTCATATGATGTACAAGCTATTTGAAATGAACCTTAGTTAGAAAAATGCTGGCATCAGTTTTCATGAGTATAAATTGACACTAATGTGTCAACCTTATTTTCACATATTAGGGTTTTTTATATATTGAAGACTACTACAGAGAATTTTTTTCTCTTCTTCATAAGGTAGAATACTTGTGTGGCACAGGTACCTCTATTCATAGGGTTTTATTATGTAAAGTCTATCAAAATATAAATTAATATGATAGTGTTGTTAGATATAATACATTTTCTAATGACTTTTTTTAAAGAATCACTTTTAGTTTTAAGGGCTTGATACACATTGGTACAACAATATCAACAATTGCAGTTTTCCATGCCTTGTGACCTTTATAAAGTTGTGGGAGTTGGGTTGGGGATTTTTGGCTCATGTGTAATCCAGTGTAAGAACAAAAGAAACCCTTGCATTTTGGATATTTCCTTAAAGAACTTTTGTGGAAAATTTACTGTCTATATTTGAGCTCCAATGAATGTTACGTGTTTTTCTCTGTTAAATTTCATTCCTAATAAATATTTTCTTAGCAAACAGTTTAAATTCGAGGTTTGTGAAATGAACATAATTTTTTGAGGCAAGAAGTCAAGTTGTTGTTGTTTTTTTACTCATTATTTTTGTTTAGGCTAAACAAATGAAAGGTAGGCTGCATATGATGATAAGCAAGGACAGAAATCATATGTGGCTGTGAAGTAAATTGAGATGACTTGACTCATGAGCATCTCCATCTCTAATTCTATTAATATCTGTAGGTGGTAGTTCCTGTGCCAAGCTGCTCGTGCTTTATTAAATCAGTCTAAGTCTGCTGGCTGCATACCATCGGGTACTACAGAGCTGTTTATGCATAAAGAATATTTCTGTAAGGGGGTGCAATTGCATGGGATCCTTCCATTTGCATTAATAGATGTACTTTAACCAATTTTGTCATGGAAATCACATTGAAGAAAACCAGAAGGATACTGCAAAAGCTAACCTTTTAGATAAAACATGAAGCACAGCGAGTATATTAATCCAAACAATCAATATGGGATTCTTTGTGAAGAAAGCCTGTGTACACAAAACCTGGGCCACACTCTCCTATTTGAAGAGCCTGACTCAGGAAGTTTTCAGTGAAGAAATCCAGCTTGATAACAGGGGACTTGGTACCTTTGCTCGTTCACTGAAGGAGCCACGGAAGCCATGATGGGAGCAAGGGCAGCACCTGAAACAAAAATGAGCCCGCTTCTACCCCAAAGCCAGACTTCCAGTTCCAGATATTTGCTAATAAGTGGCATTCTGTAAAATATGTCTTGTTTTTATAGTTGACATTTTTCAACAAAAATTATGCAGAGTGGACACTTCTAGAAATAATGCTGCAGTCCTTTTAAAGAAAAGAGCAAACTTTAGTACAAAGCTCAACAAAGTAGCATCTTTATACAAGCTGTGATACTCTTTCTCTTTTAAAGAAAATGGATAGAAGATGCAAAGGTGTAGAAACCCAAATTCAGCATATACAATAAAACAACCTTATTTTGTATAACTGTTATTGCATAATATTTGACATGTTTGTACAAACCTGAATATAGCTTAGTAGGGACTACTGAGTGATGATGGTCAAGATGTATGGGAAAGTCCACAAAAATGTTCATTCCCCAGAACACGGCAAAGCAGACTAAGTGAACAGTTCTATGGCCCCTGGACATTGGCTAGGTTCATACAACAAGGCAAACCACCTTGTGTTGTGTCCATTACTTGGGGCAGCTCAGGATTTCATGGACTCTATGACAACCATGGGGCTGTCCCAACATGGCCTTAGCCCAACACATGTAGCAGGGCACATATTTCTTTTTTGCAGCCAGGCATGGCATTAGTGATCTGAAAATGGGAGACATTGAATTGATCTCTCAGTCATGGTCAGATCACTACATGCTGAAATTCGCAGTAATAGCAACTTTTCCTCTCTCGAGTGGTGGCGTACCCATTAAGATGGTCTGTCTCCAGATGTTGATGAATCCAGATGGTTTCCAGAGGGCTTGTGGGGTACTTTCTAGTTGATATGGCTGGTGGCCCTCTTGAATCCCTGGTAGGTCTCAGGAACACAGGAATGATCCAGGCAGTTAACATGATTACTGCTGAGATCCCTTTCCGTAGTAGACTCATATACCCCAGAGCTAGAAGTTAGAAGTTGGCTTGAATGAAGATGGAAGAAATCTAAAGGATACACTTGAGCCCTGGTATGTGCCAGGGAAAGAGATCCTTTTGGGTATGCCTCATCATGACCATACCTTGCAGTTCTGTTGACTATGAACTCATTTAAATTAGCTGCTGGATGTGTCAGAAACACCCATGGCAGATCCTGTGCAGCGTGATATCCCATTACAAAGGTTTTGATATCTATAACAGGCTCTGCTTTATACTAGACTCTGTATTCACAGTTTATCTTAAGTCTTATGTTGCAAATCAAAGCAGCACTAAAAGACAAACCCTGTACAGATACAAACTGCACAAATATATTCCAAATAACCACATGGAACATACATTTTCATTCATTCACAAATGCATTTCGAACTGGTTCCAAATACTCCTAGGGTTCTTCATTATTTCTAGCTGCAGAAGTGAGTCTGAGTTTGGAAGCAGTAACACAGACCCAATTTATTGGTTCTTTTTCATTGCAGTAGCTTCAAGATGATTGAGCTGATAGTACTCTTTACCAGTGTTTCTCAGTTCTCCCTGATAATTCAGCTGGGATGACTATGATTCTGATCTTTGATGATATAAATACTGTCCAAAATCTGTGACTATGGCCTTAAAAACAAAAAAGAGAAAAAAGAAAGAAAAAGAACACTACTTAGTATGCCAACATGACAGCTGTCACAAGCATGGAAGTTAGATGCTTATTATACCATTTTCTTTGCATTGGAATAAAAGAAATTAAAGGGTTGTGCTTTTTTTAAATAGCTTGTTCTTAGAAATCCTTGTTTGTTCATCCTCCCATCTCTTTCTCTCCCCACCCCCTGTGTATTTGACAATTGTTCTGGATCCACATCATATTTACATAATTTGAGCATGAGCAGCATGCTGCACCACATTAGTTCAAATGATGAATAAGCCAAACTAATTGGGGCATGCAGTAGACAGGCACAGAATAGGGTTCACTTGGCATGTATGGTATAATCAACTGCAGATTCTTAGGAAAAAAAATAAAGGTTTGGGGGGAGAAGTCATTTGTATCTTGTTCCACCAAATGAAACATGGAATTAAGCATCTAAATGGATTTTTTTATTCCTTTCTATTACATTTAAAAGTTAAAAACAAAAAGCAAAGTCCTGCTGTGTAATCTTATGTAGGGAGCACATCTGGTTTGTTGCTGCTTAGAAATTTAAATTCTGCTTCCTCCTTCCCCCACTGCAAAAAGCAAAATGCCAGGCTGAAACTCCTTCCTTCTCCTTCTCCTTCTCTTGTGGCATATAATATATTTCAGAGAGGACATGAAGAAGTAGTTTTGTAGTAGGGGAGGCAAATTTTATATTGTAAGGGAATTGTAAAAGTAAAGACTTACTGACCTAGCTATGAGTTTAACTCTCAGCCTGGAAGCCAAAAGCTCAGTATAGCTGGTGAACAGTGGATGCTTCTCCTGCTTCTTAGTGGGATACTCTGAGACCTGCATAATCTGCCCAGCTGGTGGAATCCAAAGAAAAGCTGCGCTGCTAGTCCACATATCTACCAACACATGCTTTGTTTATATTTTATATTTCCTACCAGTCTCGCTGATGTAAAAGTGACACCAGTTTTCTCCCAAGCATACATGCACTTACGTATTAATCATAAACAGGCATGTGTATGGAATAAGCACCCCTAAGGTGCATAAGGGAGGCAACCTATTTACATAAAGCACCAGCATAAAGCAGGTAAGAGGAAGTGTTTATGCTCCCAGCATCATGTTTAAATTGATCTTTAGCAGGCCATTTCTAAGGCAACATGAGGCTTCAAAACCATGGGACATGATAACCTTGACAATGACCTGGTTCAGATGACTGGGCAGCCCTCCCATTTGTGAACACAAAAGCCCCAGGCAGGGGTTACCATTGCAGCCACAGGCAGGTAGTGGTGTTATCTGAGTGTTAAATCTGGCATAACCCAGTTTGTTTTAGGTTAAACCCTGGTTTAATCCTGAAATACCTCCTGCCATTAGGGGTCAAATAAAGGAACAAGTCATGGCAACCCCTGGCCAGGGCTTACATATTCGTAATAGTGGCTGACACACAGCACAAGTCTGTGCAGCTAAATAAACCTTCCATAGGCTATCGTGTCATACAGACTAGCCCCATGGCATTCTTTTGTATAGATGCCTATTTGGAAGCAGGACATTTTCCTTCTAGTGGTAGTAGCCTTAAACAGAAAGGGCAAGGGGCATAATAGAGAAGTTCCAACTCATTCAAGAGGTCAGCCCTATTATTGTGATTGTTGCAAGGCAATGATCTGCTCAGGAGTCAACACATTACATTTGCAGGTTCAGTATATGTATTGATCATGCAAAGCAGATTTGAAGTGCCTGTTCTGTACCTAATCAAATACTTGAGTTAATCCATTCCACATTCATTAGGAAGCACCATACCCTCTATAGACAATTCAGAAGCATTCTGACATACAAATGGTACCTTGTATATATGAATGAGGTGATGCACCCTCCAACATTTCACAGGTGGAAGCAGGGACATGTGAGCCCTTAGAATATCCTTGGTTTTACATCAACAATCTATCCCAACAAGCATACATGTGTGCATGCACAGAATTTGTTTTGTCGTTTAGTTGCAAAGTCATGCCCGACCCATCACAACCCCACGGACAACATTCCTCCAGGATCTCCTGTCCTCCACCATCCCTCGGAGTCCACCCAGTGGTGTGCCCCAGTGACTCCTCCAGCCATCTTATCCTCTGTCATCCCCTCCTTCTTTTGCCGTCAATGCCAAGAATTACATACTTCTGAACATTCTTGTCTGCTTGCTGTATTAAATTACTTTGTAACATAATACACAGTTAAGAGCACACTTGACAAATTTTAAAAACCATCCTGAAAATGTCCTGCAAAAGCAAGATATATGCACATGTATCAGGGACAGGTAAAATAGGTAAATAGGGACATCTGGACTATGTGTAGATCATACAAAAATGCATATTTGGAGGGAAAAGATGGTGATGGGTAATCATATTTAAATATTACATGTTTATCATATATGGTAAAGTTTAAAAGGTACAGGGGACATTCATATTTGAAAATTTATTTATGTTGGTTGATGCACCATCATACTAATTTGCCTAGAATGTATTGTATCTTTTTTTAATATCCCTGATTTGAGGAAATTTTCTACCTTCTTGAGTAGAAGTTTGCTCTTAAAGCATAATTCCTCCTATGTAGCACGCATGCTTGCTAGGCTTTTAAGAAAGAACTGCTGAGCTATGTATGCTTGTGTACAGTGTTCTATGGTGTTGGTTGTATTAGCCCCAGGTCTGGAGCTAAATTGTGACAATGGGCACTACTGGTATATATACTGTGGTG